ATCCTTGTGCAAGTTGAGTCCATTATTAATTATCCCCTCGTCTTAATCAATAATTTTGGATAATCAGTGCGAACAAAGTCACCTGTTAATGGCTGTTCTGCAATATCTACAGTGGCTCTGTAGGCTAGTTATATGGTCTTTTATGTCATTCCATTTTTTTTTTGGTATGTATAAGATTTTCTTCATGCGCACATAATATGAGACAAATCCAAATAACCGGATAATAAAAATAAATAAAAAACAAACGGACAAAGTGTCTAAGATTATAGCCTAAAACAGTGATGAGGGTAAATATCAATCCATACATACTGTGCATATCTACATATGCCTAAAATCCCCAAAACATTTTCTTTGTTTATATAAAGTTTAGCTGTCTCAAAAAGCAGGGAAGCTACTGAAGACTCAATAAAGCTCAGAGAAGAGCTGCCCTTAAATTAATAATTAAATGCATTCACACGTCGATTACTCAACTTAGGAGTGAGCTTTGATCATAAGCATTTCAACAGTATCCATCGGACCAATAAACCTGGAGACAGGCAGGTTGCCTATCGGCTGGCAACCCCAAAAAAAACCAACAGAATCTACTGCAGAAACTGCAGATACCTCATCTTATGGGGACACAATAGAGTATTCTATCCAAATGTGAAAATGCTTCACAGTTCCTGCTCCCAAAACCCAGATTTTCTAATCTGGTGTACCGAAGTGTGAAACAATTGGGTCCAACAAAGGATGGAAGGAAGAGAGAAAGAAAGAGGATTAGGAAGGGGATAAAGGAGATAGGAAGGGAGGAAGATAGAAAGAAAGAGAGAGGATTAGGAAGGGGATAAAGGAGATAGTAAGGAAGGAAGAGAGAAATAAAGAGAGAGGATTAGGAAGGGGATAAGGGAGATAGGAAGGGAGGAAGAGAGAAAGAACGAGAGAGGATTAGAATGGGGATAAAGGAGATAGTAAGGAAGGAAGAGAGAAAGAAAGAGGATTAGGCAGGGGATAAGGCAGATAGGAAGGAAGGAAATCATGAAGGAAGGAAAGGAAATGAAGGAAAGGAGAGAAGGAAAGAAAGACGGAAGGAATAAAGGAAGGAAGGAAGAAAATAAAATAAAGGAGGAAGGAAGGAAGAAAGGAATGAAGGAAGAAGGGAAGGAAAAGGGGAGAAAAGAAAGGAGGAAGGAATAAAGGAAGGTAGGAAGGAAGATGTGAAGGAAGGAAGAGAGGAAAGAAGGAAAGAATAAAGGTAGGTAGGAAGGAAATAAAGGATAAAGGAACGTAGGAAGGAAGATGGAAAGGAAAGAATAAAGGAAGGTAGGAAGGAAGAAGGGGAGAAAGGAAAGAATAAAGGAAGGTAGGAAGAAAGGTGATGAAGGGAGAGGTCAAAGTGAAAGAAGGGTGAGATGGAGGGAAGAACATAGTTACATAGTTACATAGTATTTGAGGTTGAATAAAGACACAAGTCCATCAAGTCCAACCTATTGTGTGTGTGCACAGAACCAGTTGCAATATTTTTTTTTGCTTGTGACAAACACTTTACCAAAATCACCAAATGACAATGGAAACCCTCGGGGTTGTTGCAAATTATGTGTAAAATAATGATAAATCTCGGGTTCTAGGAAATGTCACAAGACGTCCATTTGATTGTCTTGCAATTAAATCTCCATCTGAATTCTAAGTATAATCATTTTGAATTAGGCTTCATATAACCCCATTTCACTGGGTTTTTTTTGGGCTCCCCACATTAAATTAAACTGTCCGCTGCCTAGATCCAGTCGTCTTGTAGAGAACGGGAGACCTGGTTAGCTGGTCCCCTGTTCATCGTCTTTGTCTATAACGTTCAGGATTAGATGGCCTATTAACATGCTTGAGTCTTGCTTGATACACGGTGTCAGTGAGTTCCAAGTTGTACATGCATATTCAGGGCGGTTAAACTGACAGGATAAAGACAAGCTATAGCAGGTGTCTGCTCGATCTTTTTTTGATTGTAAGACATTATTGGTCTACCTTTTAAAGCTTAGCGTCGGTAATAAAAGCTGACTCTTCCTATTGTGAAGGTCCTATATTTAGATTACTATAATTGAAAATTATGATACTAAATACCATTTCAAATTGCCTTTTGAATAATTTTAAAGGTAATGCCTAGGAATATGGCTGCCCAGAGAGCAGTAACATTTAGGTCTCTCAGTAGTCAGTCTGGAAGCGCACAAAGAGAGTGATATCATGCAAGCGTGAAGTTATGAATGAATTGGCCAACATTTTAACTGCCATTAACTAGCTGCAATGGTGGGTGGGTCAATGCCTATTTATCACTGGGGGGGGGTAGCAACTACAGCACAGAGACTATAACCCATTGGCTGAATGCAAAATCATGAGCAAACCCACTGATAGGTGCTCATGTGAATAAAAATATATTTAATTATTTAACCTTTAATTGCAGTAGTAGATAAAATGCTTTATCATTACATACACGTTGAGTATTTCTAATGACATTTCATTGTACTCAGCAGAGTTTGAACCATGCCATGCTACAGTACAACTCTTGATAAGATACGCTTAAATCACGCTCCTTCCATCTATACTGGTAAGAGGGTTAATTCCCATTTAAAGCCCCCCCCTATGTTTGTAGACAATAAATAAGCTTAACTGTCTAAAGTTTAATGCACTCGGAGACAGCATTAATTGTCAGATTTGGAATGTGTGCTGTGTGTCTGAGGTGGTTCTCCGAGAATATATCACCGGCTAATTAGCAGGCCATTAATCAATACCAAATAGCAATAAATATAAAGCTTTTTTTTTCCCCATGAATACACCTATTGTGAGTATCAGGTTCAATGTGTTTAAAAATCAACAGAGTAATGTAATTTTAAGAGACAATAGAAATAGAAAGAGCTTCAAAGAGCATCTGAACCATGTCACACACAAAGCCTGTACTTTTCTTCTTACTCTACGTAGCCGGTCAAGAAAGGACTGGAAGCCTCACACAAACCTCATTCCTCACACACTTGTCATGGTTAGACCTTGCAACAATTAATCACTAGGGGCAAGCAAGTAATTTCTTCTTCTTGCCAGAGGCACATTTTTATCAGGATTAGCTAATAAATCAGATATACCCCGAAATGAGTAATACGACTCTCAACCATTCTCAATCTAGTGAAGCCTTTGCTGGAGACTTGGTTGCCATACATCAACCATTAGACAAGGTTAACCCTTAATAGGACCTCAGTTCACTTAAACAGTAGCTTTAAAGCATGCACAGTAGCCATAGTTCCCACAACGCTCTTTACACTTTCCGAAAATCACAAGCAGTGAACCGCCAACTTCAACGTTCAAACCTACCAGCCCTGGATCATTTTTGACCAGCATTCATTAATCAAAAAGAGTCCAGTTTCAGTAGCCAGCCATGAACAAATAGGGTGTGTTGGTAAAAAATATTTTCTTTTCTTCAATGACTGTATAAAATGCACCCCACATTTTTTTTTAGGGATCCTGCTACACTGGAAGATTCCACAGGAAAGCCGTGTATGTTCAAACGCAACACACAAATGTGGATGCCGCTGTCCAAGATCACCGTGCCAATCTATCTAGGAGAAAGCATTACCTTGCAGTAGCTTAGTGGCCCCTGTTAGTGCAGACTGACACATCATTTCAAACCTCAAAAGGAGCTTTATTTCACAAGTGTTTTGGTATGAATTATACATCATGAAATATATAGAAGTTACACTGCTATCAAAGGCTGCCACGCAATGGGCAATGATATCCACATGGTGGAGAATACTACAGGCAAGCTTTTACTGCTGTTCATGTAATATCAGCGACAAATAATTATTTCACTCCCGACTAAAGGCAATCACACTTACAGTACAGATGATCTTTGCCATTGCAGGATTGCTTTTCCTCCTATAACATAATTAAGGGCTACACAACATTTTATTTTTAACATCAACTCAAATCTGTCAACAAATGCACACATTAAGATGTATCAACTGATTGAAGGGAAACAAAAAAATGTGTTTTTAGTAGCCTTTCCCTCCTTTCTTGACATACATTAGCAAAGTTTAAATGTATTTTGTTTTTTCCCCAGGAAAGCACAGCAGCCCACTGCTTTTCACAAAAGCATTTAAACAAAGGGCCCCTGAGTGCTTCTGTCAATGCTTGTAAATTGTCAAATAGTGCAAGAAAGTTGTAGTGAAACCCTGATCTCCTTTGTGGTTGCACTAGGAGGGAGCTTGCCTGTGCTGCTCAGCCTTGTTCCCCTTGCCTGTCAGTCGCTCTCTCCCCCTCTCTCCCTCTCTTCCCCTTGCCAGATGTGCAACACAAAGTTAAAGGAGCCGGTTCAGCACTGCTACTGCGGACAGCTCCCAAGCTCGCTCTGCCTCAGCCAGCAAATTGCTCACCCAGTTCATCACCAGGCGAGTGGACAGCTCCCTCTCCCAGACGGCCAAGCAAGACAAGGGATACACGTAGAGCAGCCAGTGGGCTAACTTGCCATCTCCTTTCTTTTTGGATTAAAAAAAAAAGGCATGATGGAAATGCTATTAATATATCCCTCTTCTTCAGTTCCCATATGGCTCTGTGCTTGCAAACTATCAGGGTTGAAAAAAAAAAAAGCCACAGCTTGTGCTCTGTTCTCCTTCAACCCGATGCTTGCTGACCATACCGGCATACCTTGCCCAGATGTGCAGCCACAGAGCATGCTAGGTGTAAAACCCAATTCTACAGCTCAGATCCCTCTGC